ATCTTGTGCAGACATACATAGCCCAGAGCACATGCAGTAGGTCCTTCTGTCAATAACGTTGCACAGATTTTAATTCTGAAAGTGGAATGAAGATGTTCTTGTAAAAATTGTATCCTTTGACTTTCAACATGTTCAAGTTGATAACATGCTTGGGTGTTGAGTTTCAGATGGTCTGCTGTACATTGGATGGGTTTATGTTTACCAGTTGCTGTTTTATACCACTTCTATTGATGCATTAACTCACACAGGGATGGAATGTATAAGGAATTGAACATGCTATGGACACCTGGGGGTTACAACCAATATTTTTGGAATTATCATCATATTTGAATTTCCCAGATAGATCCCTTACAAAATAGCTCAGATACTAGTGTTTAGTCTACTCTCACGCATGTAATACCCGAAGGATCTCGAAAATAATTTCAAACTAATGTAAATTTTTTGCACACAATTTTTTTTTTTTTAGTTTACTCTTGCTGTGATTTTCTCCCCAATGCTTGCATATCTTTCTTGATATTACTGCAGGAAAAAACACTGATTTGTCAAAACTTGAGATCATCATGAACTCGTTAATTTGATGGTTTTGTGAAATTTTGGTGATATCATCAAGCATAAATTTCCACGATCTTTCCACATAATCCGTGGAAAAGTTTCCCAAATAGATCATGTGACCATCCCCTAGACTTATGCTTAGTCCCGGAATATATAAATATTCATAGTAACAAATAACCCCATCTCAATAGAAAAGGAGCGAGTGGGGAGATTCATTGGGAAATCTAGACTTGCTTCATTTGGGACTTTAGCATTGCAGGGAGGGCTAGGCAGGAAGGAAAATAATGTGGTTCAGGGACTGTGAGATAGACTAACCAGCCCCTAATTCATTAATTGGTAGGAAGTTATGATTGAACATGTGCACGTGCATATACTGGACAAAATGGTTAGGGATTGAAATTATGAATAATGATCTATTTATTAATTGACACACTGATAAAATATCAATCATAAAAATACCAATATCCCAAAACTATTTTGTCCTGTATATAACAAATGAAATATATAAAGGATCCAATTCTTCTTGATCAGATTGTTTTTGTCTTCAGGGCCAAGATCTGCCAAACAGTTAGTTCTAATAGACAGAAGTTCCATGTGGGTTTATTCACAAGTAACATATATAGGATGGCTATTGGCAATAATGCCTGTTATTCCTGTAAATGGTAAAAGCTTGAATGAAACAGATTAAAGAAGTCTGCCAAGAAGCTGTCCAGGAAGTGGTTGATTGTTGATAATCATATACCTGAGGCAGCTGGGGGCAGGAGAAGCATGAAGTATGATGAAGTACTGTGTATAGTTCCTGGCCCCGGAAGTGGGTATAATGAGGCTGCTGGTTAACTATAGGGCTCTAGATTAGACAGGCTGTTTACCCAGCTGCAAACCACAGGAGTCATTTCTGGTAGAGATCTTTTCTGGTGGATAAATTATTTATAGTTATACTTAGTCAGGAGGATACATTAAAAATTATGAAAATTATAACAACCGATTGTTATTAAGAGTTAATAAATTTGTTATGTTTTTTTCTCAAATGTTTATATTTTTAGCATGGTGCTTGGGTAGGGCCGTCCGCCCCTCCCCCTTCCCCCTATCTCCAGCCCCCATATATCCAGCCCTCTGTCCCTCATCTTACCCTCACCCCCCTCCCTGTTTTGTTTCCGGACCTGATTCATGAAACATACTTTACACTGGTATTTATAGCTGGGCCTGGTGATATTTCTGGGCCTGATGAATTTGAAAGTTTTGTTATATTTCTGCTTAAGGCCATGAAAACATATCTGAGCAAGACTTAGAAACAATTTTCAATGAGACACTTTTTGGTTCCAGGTCTGCCATTTTTATATGAAATTCAGTTAAAGTTCCTGAATTGGAATATAAATTTCATATTTTATCGTAGTTTGTATTTGACTTAACCAAAATATTGTTTAAGTTATTTGATTCACTATTAATTTGTCACAATGTTAAAATACTTTAGATTTTTCATAATAGTATCTTATTTGGGAGGAGATAATGATGTCTTTTCAAATGTGTCCCCCACAAGCATGTTGTTCTCTATAATGTCCTAGATAAGCCAGTCATTGAGTCAAGGGAACAATAATTGGGTTTCTTATCTGCTGATTACATTCAACAAGAGCACTGGATTAACTGTAGCTGATGGAGATTCTGAATAAACCCACCAACCTAGGTTCACTTCAATGTCAATATATCATTTATGGCTTAATACTTATAATATCAGTCACTGTATTGTCTGGTCCAGACTTGATTTGACTGAGTGTGGCAGTAAAGACAAAAAGAAAACCTGAATAATGAATATATTGTACTGACATATTATCATGATTATGCATGCTACTACCTGCCCATACAGTGGTGATCATGGTGATGTGTAACATGCAGTATTGACCATTCGTGCGTTTATGGCCGGAGGGTATAAATGAGATATAGGGTTCCCTGGTCAGAAATGAGTGGCATGCTAAATGCCCAGCCTGTACATGCCATCCATATGGTGCATCTCAGATGGGAATTGATCGGACAACTGGATGAATAGTTGATAGCATTCCACCATTAACCAGGACCCCTGCTACATCTGGTGCCGAATATGAAGCTCAGGTGATGCAGGGCTGGTACTGAAACAGACAGATCATACTGATGAGTCTTCCTATCAATACAAGCATAATCATCATCTGTGGAAAACATTGTCTAAGCTTGGGTCAAATTTGATTCCTTCTATTTGCCGTCAGTAATGCTTCTAATCAAGGTTCTAAACACTTTTAAGACAATTAATATCAAGCATTGTTTTATTACAATGACTGAGAGGTTTAGGAACATATTCACTATTATTAGCAGCTGAAAACATCTGATGTAACGTAGCAACTGAGCATTTGATAATCTGTTATTAAGTGCTGACTCAGCAATATTCCAGCTATGTGACAGCGATCAGTGAATAATTGAGTCAGACCCAGGCACCCCAGTGGTTGACATCATCAACATTTGTTTTTATGCAAATGGGATAAAAATGAAAAAATGGCGTATCATCAAAGTTAACGAATTTACTGCATGTTCCTGACAGCTGCCTTCTACAACAAGCACGGGCAACTGAAGATGGGTTTTATCCCAGATCTTCACTTGGGATCTAATATCCTGGGGATATATCCTCATACCATGACACACAATCAGTTCTCTGGAAAGATTCAAACAGTACTATATTATCACACTTTTCCTCAAAATTCCATCATGTCCAGTGAACAGTTATGTGCGGACAAATATTGACCCAAGGACAAATAATATTTCTCCGTTTTCAGAATATTGTTTTCAAAAACCGCAGATGGTTGTCCCCAGAAATGTTTTTGGGTCAGATATCCACCAGCATTTTTACACGATGTGTTGTCGATGCATCAGAAGAGCACTGATGTTGTGAGGGAATCTAATCAATGCCCTGCTCCAGCAGACCACTTAGAACATCAACACATGCAGCAGGATGAGGAAGGGGCACAGCTGACTGGCCATAATTACAACATTTGTCAGGATCTCGGACTGTGCACACTTTTCTTTGTAGGAAACAGGGCAGATTTTTTCTGATATCAACAGAAGATGCTTCCTGTTTCAAATTAGCCAGGGGCGGTGGGGTAGCCTAATGGTTAAAGCATCGGCTCGTCACGCTTACGACCCGGGTTCGAATCCCCACATGGGCACAATGTGTGAAGCCCATTTATGGTGTCCCCTGCCGTGATATTGCTGGAATATTGCTAAAAACAGCGTAAAACCCAACTCACTCACTCACTCAAATTAGCCAGATTTCACATGCCTGTCTCCCCCGACACAAAGAATCCATAAGAAATCAGCCATTTGTTGAAGATGGGAGGCTTAACGAACTGTTTAATCAGTCTTTGTTGATTTCACTTGTATCCAGTATCTATCTCCCTTGTGAGGAATATCAGTTTCTGTAATATCACATGTTCAGCATTAAGAATAGAGCATGGTGATGGGAATGTTTCTGCTATGGAATGTTGAAGGTGGTTGGCTAACCAAGTGGTAGTGTTGGCATGCACTGCAGCTGTTTCAAAATTAAGAATGGGTGTGAGCGGAGTCTTGGCATTACCCTACCAGTAAAGGTACAATGAGTCCCTCCATTCAAATCCCATGAATGATCCACTAGCCAAGTTTAAGGACCCTAGGGTCCTTTTAATTTAAACACAAATGTCTTACAGAAACATGGGTTTCATTCCTCTCATTATTACAATGTGTTCTCTGTGTCTCTTGGGCTGGTGTCCCCAGCCACAGTGTTGCTGAAATATTGCTAAAAGCAGCTTGAAACCATACTCACTCACTCACTCACTCACTCACTCACTCAGTGTCTCAGTGTCTCATTCACTCACTCAGTGTCTCACTCAGTGTCTCTTGGTGTGATATTGCTGGAAAATTGCTCCAAACATCCTAAAACCTGACTCACTATGTTGTTGGATTAGCCTTTTCTGTGTGACCTTCAGACACCAGCAAGTTGTAACATTACCATTTGATGAGAGTTCATATTGGTTGGAACTATGTTAGACAGATGTTGGGGAATTCAAATCTGAATAACATTTTTCCAACATGGGTGTATTCCTGTGATACAGGCAGCCATTGTGGGAGGAATAGTTGGTGTAACACCAGACATTGTTTAGTTATAGATTTCACAACTTGGAGCAGAGGCCAGCTAACTGGATCAGACAAGTCAGTTTAACCTAGCCTCTAATCAGGACGTGAGATGGAGCAGTGCCTCTTGAACTAATCATCCATAACACGAAGCTGATTAGTTGTGGCATGCCTCAACCACTTCAGTGGTAGAACCCTTACTGAAGGGACCATGACACCGTAAGGAAGAGTGGAATTCTCTAATGTTTATTACAACGTTGTCTGTGCCTATAATCCAATACTGGAATGACAAGATTCTCAATACCCAATAGACACTGTAGTGTTGAAAGCATCCCAGCTACTGAGGTTAACCTGAATTGAGTTATCATCAACTTTGCCACAGTCTATTAACCAACTGACCAGCAGTTGAACAGAAACACTGAAAATCTTCAAGGTCAGCATTCTCAATACAGGAAGTGGAAAACAATTTGATTGTCATCAGATCTGCCTGTGATGAGAGTTTTGACCTGGAACTGACCAGCATGCCTATAGCGGCCCAAGTTAGAGTATCATGATATAACAAGAAGATCGGCAGTGTGGACCTGTGAGGAGCTTGCTAGCCTGCAGCACTGGGGGAATGTTACGTAGATAGTGTTTCCGATATACACAGCAACTTGTCTGGGCTGGGAGGGATGTAGTGATGCTGCTGCTGGGGTTCCTGCGTCACTTGTTTGTGTGGGGAGGATCTCGGTGAGTGTTGATGGCCTCTCCTCCATCCTGCCTATGTTGTAGGAAACTCATCCCATCCTAGGTCCTGTGATCTCATGGATTTACTTGTGGAAATGGTACCAGGAATGTGAACTTCGTGGATAGCTGAAGAGGTGGATTTACTTGAGAAACTTCTGTGGGTATTTTCACGTCAATTGTATGTGTTCTAGGTTTGAACAAATAGAAAATATTTAAGTTATGACAGTGTCTATCTGTGCCAGGACTTGAGTTCAAATTCATGGTGTTTTATTTGCATTGATGGTTTACATTAATTTGCTGCGGTACTAGCCGTGTTATGGCTCAGCATCTCTTCCGTGTGTAGTTGTTATCAGGAGGGGGATACATAATGCAGCAGTGTGACCTCTATTCTGCCCCGATGTTTGTCTACAGTTAACTGAGAAAACTTTCAGAGTTTTGAACAGGAATTACTAGATATGGTGGTTGCCAAGGGAAACTAGTTGGTCCTGTTATATTGTAGGTGTGTTTATCAGAAATTGTCATTCTGTCTCCCTTTTGACATAAACTGTGACAAATATGGATACAACAAACTTGTTTTCCAGAGACATGAGAAAATTGATTGTGAACTTGACTATATTGACAGCCATTTTGAAATTTGAATTGAAAGGGCCCTTGTCTGAGCATGAAGTTAAGTTAAAAATGTAGGCTTTCTATGATTAAAATTTAATGACAGCAACCTGTTAAAGAAACCAGGAACCTATTTGTTTGATTGAGCATTCACAAAACCAAAATACTGTGAGTGTTACTATATACAAGGTCACAGTACTTGTGTCATTGTAGTGATGGGTATGTCAGCACTCTGGTTATATCTTCTGTTTTGACCTTGTGATTGTGATAAGCATGGTGCTTTGGACATGGAGTTGAATTTCTTGATATATTATCATTCTTGAAATTTTCAGTTAAAGTTTTCAATGTTTCATTGTTTTGAGCTTACAGTGTAAGTAATCATTGACATATATTCATGGTAATCTCATATCACTCACCACATGTAAGTATCTTGTCCTGTGGAATAAGATTCAGGGCGTTATTGACTGGATATGTTGATATTAATATATCAACTCAACATGGCAAAAAGTGTCCTGATATATTGACGTACTGAGTAATACTAAGATTAACTTTTCTATATGTGTACAGTTAGTTATACATTGCCCATGTGCTATTTATCACTGTCATGGTAGAAAGTGTGACTAGGCTGATCCACTTGTTCTGGCTTCTCAGTTTTCATCTCAAACATGATAAATGTTTCTGTTGCTCAAGATAATTACTTATATCAGTACCTGTACATCAACAGTAAAATATTATCAATATTGCAACATATGATGGCATCCAAACCATTCATGCACAAAATCATCACCACGTTTCCCACAAGCGTGTGTGTATTTATGTAAAGGAGGGAGTAGTATCATTATTCTGCACTGGGGCACATCCTGATTACATACTGTTCCATGATGACCTGGCTGCTATATATAGCTACAGAGGCTTGTTGATCAATACCTGGTTAGATCTGCCTGGGAGATTGGTCTCCTGCCGCTGGCCAGGCAGGAGGGGGGTTTCAGTGAGGATGGGTGATAGTTACAGAAGTTGCACACAGAATGAGGATCAACTGATGTGTTTCTTTCTGTGGATGCACACATGTAAGAAGCACTGTTAATGATGAATTCTAATTCGACTTAGTATGTAACACGAGTTCTGATTGGTCAATGCTATAAATTTCCGACCGTATAATCAGCATATACGGTCGCAATTTGAAAACCGATTCACCAGAACCTTTGAATGTATCTCTACTCTACTGGGGTAACGCTGTTTTGCAGGACATTGTCATTTGCAGAAGCCATTGGTCCATTAACTCCCCTATCCAGTTAAAATGGGTGGAATTTGTGTTAAAAAAGACAAAACAGTATCATAAATTTAATTTTAACGGGCTGTTGACCCAACACTGTTAGATCATTAAACAAGATTTATGACGTCATTATGGAGCGTGACGTCACCTGTGACGTCATTTGACAACAGAACTGATAATGGCCCGTAGTTGAGGAATCAGCGGGCCGCTCATTTCTGTAACTAGAGGGAGGTTTCATCATAATTCCATCCATTTTATCTATGATACTATGATCTATTCATCATTGTCTGTGTGCACATAATAAACGTGTGTAGTTTGAAAAGGGAACTACTTTTTCTGGCGATGGTGTAAGTTCAAGCAGTGATATGATTAACCTTTGACCTAGACAAACTTTGACCTAGTTTAAATAATGAATTTATTTCACGAAAAAAAAAGCGTAAAACGAGTTGAATTAGAATGGGGATAACTGTACTGGTTTTATGGCCGCAAATTTAACGCTATATCGGCTCCTCTCACACGTCGCCGATATAACTGAATTTGCAGCTATATAACCACCGGTATACATCCCCAATTCGTCAAACACAGTACAGTTATCCCCTAACTATGGTGGTGTAATGATGCATGATATAGTATGGGATCTGTATACAATTGAGTGAGTGAGTTTGGTTTTATGCTGCTTTAGCACTATTCCAGCAATATCATGGCGGGGGACACCAGAAATGGGCTTCACACATTGTACCCACTGTATACAAAACCCATGATACAATACTGATAACACAATATACAATATTGTACCATTATACAAGGTGCACAATACAATCCATCAATCAACAACCCTGGAGTTGTGATACATACAGTTCAAGTTAGGTTGTGTAAAATTATGAATGATAAATTGCCAGTAAATGTAAGTACTATAATGCGATAAACAATTACTCCCATAGTATCTGAATACACATAGTATTGTGGCTTGTCCATGTTCTTACCCCTTCATTGAATTACTTCCTAAATCATAGGAGCAGTGGTGTAGCCTAGTGGTTAAAGCGTTCGTTCATCAAACCGAAGGCCCGGGTTCGATTCCTCTCATGGGTACAATGTGTGAAGCCTATTTCTGGTGTCCCCCGCTGTGATATTGCTGGAATGTTGCTAAAAGTGGTGTAAAATCCAACTCACTCACTCACTCCTAGATCATATAAATGTCACAATGTTATTACTGACTGATAATAAGCAAATTACACAATATCTAAATCCCGTTTTGACACCATGATAAGCACACTGACAATGCTTGATAACCCCATATCAACCTGTGTTTGCTGATGTAAGCTATGAAATTCCAGGACATAGTTCTAGTTAAGTAAACAGCTGAGTTCATTCAGTGTCTCTAAATACAGACAGTTTACACTAGCTCACTTCACACGATTGAATATTGAATCATTGACACAATATAAACATCAGCACCTCCTAGCAGTATTCCAGCAGGGGCCACCAAGTATTGGCTTTAGAAGTAGGGAATAAGACTTGGTATTCTCTTTAACCATAACCCCAGCTCCATGGTGATCTTGGTAGGTAGGTTAACACCAGTAACTCTGGTCTCACTGAGATTGGCAAGAGAGGCCAACAGGTGGAATTACCGGTATCTATAGCAGAGCTAAGTGATTTCATGGCTTTTTGCCTCTCCTTGGAAAAGTCAGATATTTCAGACTTGGTAAATATGACTTGATCTTTAAAGTCTAGGCTCTGTACTGTGGTCATTAAACATATCACTTAAAGGAGAATGGAACAGAGTTTCTCAGTGTAGTAGAAACTGATTATGTTACAGCATACAGCTTCAGCCAATAGTTGGAAGCCTGATTGTAGTAAAATTATGCTTCATCTAGTAAGCTAAAATATAATATCATTTACTGAACATGTTGCATATGAGTCCAGGTCTTGACTCAGGGGTTTTGCACAGACTGCATTATCATGATTATGTTAAAGACTATTTCAACAGGCCATTTTGGGCAGCGATTGTATGCTGAAATGATTTGATCAAACGGGACATAAATTGGACCATTGAGTCCTCCCCACCCTCTTTCCAAGGTAAATTACAAAATCAATGTGTTTGAACAGAATATGAATGGTGGTGATATGAATTAGGAGAGTGATTTAGGGCATATTTTGTGATCATTTATGTGCCAAACAATCTCTTTCATCCAAACTTAAATCACAATAATGTTTAACAATTTGCTCTTTTGTTTTTGATTTTATCACCACTTTTTGTGTATAATAATTAATAAAATGGCAAACATTTCTTTTTCTGAAAAAGAAACAAACATGAAACACTGAATTATCCCTGGTATTTCCTGGTTAGCTGTAAATAGCTTAACATCCACTTACTGCCCTCCAGCCTATATGTTTCTACAATATACTGCCTTTGATCTTTGGAACTTAAAAACTAATGATTCAGGGTTGCACTTCACATGCAAAATGAATATCAACATATAAAATACAATCACTGTATTGGGATATGAATCATATCGCACCATTGTATAGAGAGAGATGCATCATATTGCCACCCCAACAACTCCAGCTGAAAAGTGGTGATACAACAGAATAATCGTTCTAAGGAAAGTCATACCAGCAGTTAATTATGTACAGTTTTACAGGAAATATTCCATGTCTGACATTCTGAAGAATCTTATCCAATAAATCCAGACCAATAAGACATTATGCAGACTTGTTCTGAAAGTAGGACAGTTGTTCAACAAGTCTAGAGTGAAGTCTGAAGCCCAACAGAAAGTGATATGGTTGTTAGAGTTGAGTGTTACAGTTCTGTGTAGATTCTACACAAATACCCTTGTGTTTGTACTGGCAGCCCTCGAGGCAGTAGGTACAGCTTATCCTTACTATTTAGGAATCCTGCTTGGCTAGGTTTGTTGTTGTCTGTCAGGATTCTTGACTTCCTCAATGTAGAGAGGTTCCAGGAAGCAGAGAATGAATAAAATTTTCTGAGTTCAGATTTATGCATTCCTCCAGTAAAGAGTTTTTGTCATGATTTCTCACTCGAATGTGTGAGTGTGTGTTGCACACAGGTGCATGCATGTGTTTAGAGAAATAGTTTTAAGAATATCTTCCAGCTAGATAGACTTGACTAGAGCTATGTCCAGAGATTAAAATGAATGTTGATATACTGCCTTTGATCTTTGGAACTTAAAACCTCTCAATGAACCTAGATTCAGCAACGGCATATAGGTTGCTTCACACCTAGCAGCAATAGCATAATATCAACATATAAAATACAATCACTATATTGGGTCTATCGTAATCACTCTCACACCATAGTATCAGCAGAGAGAGATCATCATATTGCCACCCCAACAACTCAGCAGCTGAAAGGTGGTGTCACCTCATCAGAATATAATGAATTCTAAGGCCTCTCTACCAGCAGTTAAGCTGTATGTACAGCAGCATGGCATATAGCTGTATGTCTGTTAAACCTCTCACCATTCTGAAGTATATGTCTATCAATAAATCCTCACCACATAGTTTCCCAAGACAGTATGTCTATCAGCAGACTTGTTCAGCAGCAAGTAGGACAGTTGTAAACCTTCAACAAGTCTAGAGTGAAGTCTCTCACCACAACAGAACCGCATATAGCTGATATGTATTGTTAAACCTGTTACTCTAGTTCAGCAGCACGGAGTGTCTATCAGTATTGTTAAACGATTCTACACAAATCAGCAGCACGGCATATAGCTGCCCTTGTTAAACCTCTCACCACCTGTTTGTACTGGCAGCCCTCTAGTTTCGGCAGTAGGCTTCGTATGTTACAGTATTGTTAAACCCTCTATCCTTACCTAGTTTAGGAATAGCTGTATGTCTATCAGTATTGTTAAACCTCTCACCTCACCTAGTTTCAGCAGCATGGCATATAGCTGTATGTCTATCAGTATTGTTAAACCTCTCACCACACGTAGTTTCAGCAGCATGGCATATAGCTGTATGTCTATCAGTATTGTTAAACCTCTCACCACACCTAGTTTCAGCAGCATGGCATATAGCTGTATGTCTATCAGTATTGTTAAACCTCTCACCACACCTAGTTTCAGCAGCATGGCATATAGCTGTATGTCTATCAGTATTGTTAAACCTCTCACCTCACCTAGTTTCAGCAGCAGCATGGCATATAGCTGTATGTCTATCAGTATTGTTAAACCTCTCACCACACCTAGTTTCAGCAGCATGGCATATAGCTGTATGTCTATCAGTATTGTTAAACCTCTCACCACACCTAGTTTCAGCAGCACGGCATATAGCTGTATGTCTATCAGTATTGTTAAACCTCTCACCACACCTAGTTTCAGCAGCAGCATGGCATATAGCTGTATGTCTATCAGTATTGTTAAACCTCTCACCTCACCTAGTTTCAGCAGCATGGCATAGCTGTATGTCTATCAGTATTGTTAAACCTCTCACCTCACCTAGTTTCAGCAGCATGGCATATGTATGCTATGTATGTTAAACCTCTCACCCCACCTAGTTTCAGCAGTATTGTATGTCTATCAGTAAACCTCTCACCTCACTAGTTTCAGCATGGCATATAGCTGTATGTCTATCAGTATTGTTAAACCTCTTCACACCTAGTTTCAGCAGCATGGCATATAGCTGTATGTCTATCAGTATTGTTAAACCTCTCACCACACCGTTTCAGCAGTTATGTCTTCAGCACGGCATATAGCTGTATGCATATAGCTGTATGTCTATCAGTATTGTTAAACCTCTCACCACACCTAGTTTCAGCAGCATGGCATATAGCTGTATGTCTATCAGTATTGTTAAACCTCTCACTACACCTAGTTTCAGCAGCATGGCATATAGCTGTATGTCTATCAGTATTGTTAAACCTCTCACCTCACCTAGTTTCAGCAGCATGGCATATAGCTGTATGTCTATCAGTATTGTTAAACCTCTCACTACACCTAGTTTCAGCAGCATGGCATATAGCTGTATATCTATCAGTATTGTTAAACCTCTCACCTCAACTAGTTTCAGCCATTCAACTGTCATGCAGTAACAGTATTATTACCCCAAACATTTTTATTCAACTGTTGATGAATAATATTAGTTAATTAACATCACCAATCCAATACCTGAAAACATATATCACCCTACATTTCTGAGTGAAGCATGTTAGAAATATAATGAAGTCTTCACTTAACTGGTTATTTTAACCTTTAATATTCAAATGTATCTGAATCAGTCTCTGGACATGAGGTGAAATATGTGTAATGTATTGCAAGAGATATCCACAACATTGGATTGGTTGAACCTTCTTTCATGTTTCCATAAACCAAAACAATAGGCCATACCTGCTAAGTGATTGCTGTTTCCTGATTGGCTGAAAATAGAATGAATGGGACTTGTGCTGCATTATATATGCTCAAATGACAGATTTCATATTTTTTCTACCTTTTTTTTTTAATTTTGCGCTCATTGGTGAGTGTGTGAAGTTATTATTGACTTTTTTATTTGTAAGACTTGACTTCAGTATATATTTGCTTTTAGACTTAAGACAAGTACATGTAAATCTGCCACTCGTATTTTGTGTGGGCATATTAGATTTATAACACTTTTATACCCCCACCATTTAAGTCCCTTCTTATCTAAACTCAAGTAATTTCATAAAGTTAATCTGCCAAAAAGCAAGACTGAGTACGTTTTGACACATGTTGTCTTAATCAGTTTATTAAATGTCTCATATCTTCATCATGCACGTGGCTGCGTTGGAATTAACAATCGTGTGCTTGAAGCAGGGTGATAGTAGGGCAAGGCATGCTTGAATGTCTGAAGAGGTTAAGTGAGTGGCTCTTATCGTGGCGTCACATTGAAGGCTGCTGTAATAGAATCGTGTCATATCGACACCACGCAGTACTCTTCTGGGTTAGAAATTGCTTTGGTCTCTCGTACTGATATTTCATTGAACCAAGAAATGCAAAATCAGATATTATTTTAGCAGCATTCGAGCAAGTGTAGATATAACTTATGGACCACCATTCCTCACGGCGCCATCCTCAGATCTCCTGGTTCCATTGGCTGGAGTTAAAGTGGTGCAGACATTCAGGCCTATCTATGGTGGACACATATGGATGTAATTTTGGATTATTAGGGCATCAAGTTTTTCTTTCCATAGTACTACACAGTATTGGAATAGTATTGCCATAGGCGGGAACTGATGTTAAGGCTTGATAATTATGTCAATCAGTGCACTGCAATACACATGGATAGAGGTTTGCCGACAATGTCAAAGTAATACATCTTCATCCCTGTTGCTTCACAGCATCTGAACCTGTCAAAGTCCTTTCTTATGAATACACGGCAGATTTGAAATTTGCAGAACATAATATATATTTTATTTACTGGTAGTTTTGACTATTGAAACTATTAACTGTTATGCATGTCTGAATGACACTAGGGTTTATATAAATAGGGTTACATATAGTAAACAGTAGGGCAAACAGTGTCAATGTATCAATAGTTTGACATATCATTACACCCCTAAGCTCCACCATATTTACATTTCCATATTTTCTGAGCTTCATTGATATTTTGTAAATTTCTCTTTATTGCTTTGATGTCAAACTTGTAATCTTTCGATATTTCTGCATGAAAATATGAGCTTGCCACTTTGTGTACAAAGACAAATATATTTCAACTGAATATATATTCAGGATAAGATTTGTAAAAATGGCTTTCAAAATACATTATGATTAAGTGTGCTTCAGTTTTCTGGTTTTCTCTATCATCATGATCATATAAGACTAAAATTAGAATTTCTGTACAAGAACCAACCTCTTGAACCACACATGCCCTTGACCATGTTTGAAATGTGCGGGGAGTTCTGGGATCATTGAAGTTTGCTCCTGTTTCAAACAACCAAAAAATGTTAAATGATGGTACTTGTTGTTTCTCTGCCTGGTACTTCACATCAGCGTGATTAAACTAAGAGTGTTTGACTTTGAGTCAGTGTGCTCTGTTTCAGTGGGGTATCAATGTGACGGTACATCTTGGTGGGATGGAATGATGACACTTTCTGTAGTCCAGGGCCCCGTTTCACATAGTGCTATGACTATCGTAAGTCAGTGTTGCAGTATAGGAAGTAGGAATGCTACGAGGAAAGTTACGAGAGCTTTGTGAAACGGGGCCCTGACTAGTACAAGCACCACCACTCACACTCTCACTTACGTGTTGCGATGTAGCATGTTTAATGCAGTAATCGCGACATTAAATATGAAATGTCAGTGCTTAATAACAGTAATATCAAACATCATACATCACCCGGTGAGTTCCTGTACAGTGTAGACGTAAGGATGATATCGTTTCCCGATGAGCATATGTTAATGTTTGCAAGTAACAGCCCAAGAGAACAGCTGTCACTGGCCTAATGAAGACTGATTGTCCTTGTCATATTAGAGATATAAACGAATGCTTTATGAGTGAATGTTACATATTTGATTACATGTCACACTGATGCTCTGAGTTCCTGGCACAGATTGATACAGTCCTAATCTTGAACGTCTTTGATATTTGGAAAATGTGAACTATTGTAACTTGTAGTTTTGCATGGAATTTGCAATGACATTTTTTTTTTAAAGAATTCAGGCAATTAACCAATATTCTTTTGAACATTGTTAGAAATTGTCCTTTCCTATGACGTGTATGGATGTTTCTTCTTCGATGTTTCTAATTTTAATGTAGTAGAATGAAATGGAAATTTAATTTACCCATCATCATGTGATCATGCATATAGAGTGCAAATTTTCTTACTGAATATTTTTTTATGCAGAGAGACTATAAAAACTAAACATATTTGGAACAATATTCAAGACTGTGAAGTTCGACATCTTTGATCTAGATATTTGGAGGATTCTATATCTATTCCACTTGGAATTGTGTTTTGGGACATGTGACCGATGGAATGAGTCACACTCTGTTGTGTAAGCGGTGTTCGACACGTCGTCATCGGAGCAACAGTCGCTTCCCGTCGTATCTCCAATATGATGCCACAGCCCATTCAGGAAGTCATCAACAGCCTCATGCTGCCCTACCCCATGGAGAAAATTGCCAAGGTAAACAGCATGGATTATCAACATCATAACACAAAAATTCTTACTGCATGTGGATAGGTGTTTGATAAAATGGATTAAAAGTGACATTGATATGGCATGTGGGTATTTGTTTGAGAGAGAATTTTCCATTTATTCATTTTACAAATGTTGTTTGTTGACCTTGGCTCCACTTGGCTCCAGTAGAGGTGGAGGAGCATGTACACTTGTACAATGCATATAATATATCTTGTGAACTCCCTCCTTGTCTGACTGGCATCTGTGTTGTAGGAATGTTTGCAGATATAACATATAACCTATAACCTGATGATGATGAATCATTCGCACATGCAGACAGAAATAATTAAATTCTGTATGGGAGATTAACCAATTAATGCTGCATTATTCTCCATTATCAGCTGAAATTTAGTACATTTCTGCAATAAAGTGTTATAACACTCTAGAGGTAGCAAGGGCATTAAAGCAAAGCTATATTGGTCTTGATTTTGTTATTCCAAAACTGGCATTTTTATGATTACTGCTGGGGATATGATATCTGCAATCAAAGTAAGATATCCATGTACCTAAGTTCATGCAGGGCTCGATTTAAGAGATGTTCATCTACTGCACCAGGAGCAACCTGAGATGAAAGCTTAGTTGCACCGACCAAATTCTAGTTGCACTGCTTTTAATGTGATATGTAATGAAAGAATATGCTATTGAATTATTTAGGTGTTTTATTCAGAGGTTTACCCACTCAAAAAATTGACCTGGTGCAAGTTAGACTAATAACTTTGTTGCACTTTGCAATATTGGATTGCACCAGTGCAAGTAACAAAGCACTAAATCGAGCCCTGTCATGTGAAGATCAGAGTTAGAACCAGTCTTCAGCAACCCATGCTTGTTGTTGGAGAGCAATAAGGGGAAGCAGATGGTCTAACTCACAAACTTGATTGATGTTATCGTATACTGATTCTGTAGATTGATGCTTATGATGCCCATCACTGGATTGTCTGTTTCACACTTGATTATTTACAGGCTGCCTTCTTATTGCTGGAATATATCTGTGTGTGGTTTGAACAAACAAAAGCACTGTACCCCAAATTCTTTAATTTAAAATTTGTTTAGGATGGACAATTTTAGGGGATGCTATGGTATGGGTGAAGTGTTTTACTGTATATAGTATGTCCACTTTGGTGATTCTTTGTTAACATGGTAATCTATGTTTTGTTGCATACATGAGTTCATCATTTATATGCACATGGTATTGTGCTATGAGGTTTCCTAATGCACTGCTAAATAGCTGTTGTAAGACAGTGAAAGTCAGTTCTTCAGAGTTGGTTGTTCCAATGAAGTAATCTACATTTTCAGCATAAACAAGCAGGGCTCGATTTAGTGCTTTGTTACTTGCACTGGTGCAACCCAATATTACAAAGTGCAACCTAGTTATTAGTCTAACTTGCACCAGGCACAAGTCAATTTTTGAGTGGGTAAACTTCTGAATAAAACATCTAAATAATTCAATAGCATATTTCTGATATTACATATTGCAATAAAAACAGTGCAACTGGAATTTGATTGGTGCAACTAGATTTTTATCTGATGCAAGTAGGTTAACATCTCTTAAATCGAGCCCTGACAAGGTGGTGAAACCTGATGACATAATTACGATAAAAGGTGATGACGATGAAGATTTACAAGTTCACTGCTTGTTCTTTGAAAACAACTTGTCTTTGCAGATGCATGTTACCTTTACCAAGTATGTGATCTCAAAGGAGATCATTATAATGCTAAAGGTACAGGCATCTTTTTGAAATATCACACTGAAAGATTATCAAAAGGTTGAACTTCAAACATCTATACTTTCTTCACTGATTTTTAAGCTTCTACACATGATTTAAAGATCTTAGGAAAGGTTACATTTATATAATGCTAAATTTTGTGCAAAGATGAAGGGCTTTTCTCTTATATCTGAAATGGGAACGAACGAAATGTCACCTATTTGGAGACCAAATACAGGAAAGTTTAAGGCATGAAAGTGTGCTGCAGTAGACGAAGGGCATGTGATGTGACATTAAATTGAAAGTGTCCCCACCAAGGTCAGAAGCATGTTCGTCTGTGACCTTTACCAAGTCTGTCTGAGCTGTGCAGGGGTCAAGGTGAAGGTGAAATGGGGTTTAATGTTGCGTTCAAGATTATTTTGTTTATAAATGACTTGCATGCCCATTTGTGCGGTAACTTTTTTGTGTCTGCACATATGCAATTATTATAGTGCTACCTAGGTTGGTACAATTCATTTACATATTCAGTGAATTAAACTGTATCCGTCCGTGAATTCACTTCAATATTCCCTGTCAATGGAATTGAGTATTCATAATTTTTTTAAGTTCATTGAATATAATGAGTAATACATCAACTGCTGGCTTGTTACTGTATTCAGCAGAAAATATTTGCATTCATTACCCAATATGAATCATTTTCACCTCCTAGTAGATATGTTGAAGCCTTGCTTAGAACACCCAGTGAGATACCATGTCACAGAATTAAGATGAGTGAGTGAATGAGTTTAGTTTTATGCTGCAATCATCAATATTCCAGCTATATGGTGGCTGTCTGTAAATAATCAAGTCTGGACGAGACAATCCAGTGATCAACAGCATGAGCATCGATCTACACAACTGGGATACAATGACATGTGTCAACCAAATCAGCCAGTCTGACCACCTGATCCAGTTAGGATCCTCTTACGACAAGCATGGGTTACTGGAGATAGTTTTAACCCGGATATTCAAGGGTAAAGAAAATGTGTAATACTTGATATTGACTCTGGCATTCCTGTAATGCCGAACACAAGGCACGGTATCAAAAAGTTTCATGACATGATGTCTTTGATTTGATACTACCAGAGAATGAAACCACTGACCACCCGGTCTCCTCACAATTGTCCCCTGTCCTGTTCACCATGGAGGTGGTCGATGACAGTTAACAGGAAAAGTTTTTCCAGTTTGCTCTCTTTAACACATAGAGGTTTATGAGGCTTTCACAACCTCCTGTTGCAGACTTTGGAAACTACTGGTCTGAAGTCAGTATAAATCTCAGTAGATGCTTTTAGTTGACAAGTTCAATAGATATTCTGGACTAGTGGTTTTCAAACTGCTTTAGCTACAGTTGCAAGCAATAATCACTGAGGTGGTCTGGGAATATTGTTAATAATGGTATGTAACACGTATTACACTTTATAAAATAGGAAACTCTTTGAATGGTGATGTACTTTTATGATGTTGAGTTGTCAGCAACAAAAGCAACAGAACATGAAATATTCCATTATCATTTATGGTTATGTACAGTCCATCATACAAGCCACACACATAATCCTTCTTATTCTTCCTGCCACGGCTGTTTCAGAGGCTAATATTCAACAGAGCTGTCTCCATCATTGTCATTATCCCTGTGTTATTCCATGCCATTATTTCTGGCTGTTATTCCCTTGTGTTACTCCCAACCTGATATACACATGGGAATGGAGTCACATGGACTGACTTAGTGGTAATCTGCAGTGCTTTTAGTGGCTCCATATGGCTGAATATGTCCCATTGTGTAAAGCCCTGGCATGGCATAAGTCACGTACCATCAACTCTCATGTTTCTACGAGCACTCACTGGATGGATGTGGTATTATATTTCTGTTTCCAGGTTTCCACATCTGTGGATTTTCTCCCCTGAGGAAGTTAGTGACAAAATTTGGCTGGAATAAAGTGCATGGGAAAAAAGTGTTTATATTTTCCCTAAGCAAAAATTTGATTTATTAAAATTACTGTTTTAAGGGATTTCATATAAATTCCTTGTTGTCCTGTGTGAGTAAAGGTGCTTGTGCTTACAGCAGTTGTTTAGTGTGAGTGAGTGAGTAAGTTTAGTTTTACACCACTGTAGCAATATTCCAGGAAAATCACGATGGGGACACCATAAACAGAGTTGTTTAGAAGCAGACCAAACTCAGCATGTTGACAGCAGCCACAAATGAACTACACTCATTGGCAGTTCACATGGTTGTAGTCTTTGGGGTCTAAATGTCAGTCTAGCATGCCTCTTTTACATAGGTTTATCTAATCACTCAATAATAATGTGTGTTCTAGAGGGAACCTTTGTAGGATTTCTAGGAAAGGATTTCAGTTGTGAGAGCTATGAGTCCATGTGAAAACATTCAATTCCAGTGATGCAAAATATTATTTATCTAAGTTTGTGAGAAAAGAAATAAGAATAAGAATAATTCAGTATATTCAAGAACAAAGGCTGTAAACAACATTAACAGGACACACTGTCATTTTGAACCCAGTTTGACAAGTACTACTTGAGTTCTGGAGGACGTGTTTATCGTGAGCATCATCATGATGACAGTCAGTTCCTCTTCCCACTATTCATCCTTCCCACTATTCATCCTTCTAAACAGTATCGTGATGTAATTGTCAGCACTCTTTCCGTGTATAGTTCATGTGTGTCACTTTCCGGTCATGGCTTGTGGTCTGCCGCTGCCACAGGAACAAGTAAGTGACAAGGATGGTTTACCAGTTAGTCATTGGGTTTTCTTTCAACGCTGCTGCTGCTGCTGCTGAGACTTGTGTAATTGGGAACAAAACTGTGCCAGACCCCACCTAATTTAGCCAAAGTGCACTTATTTCAAGTGTTGCTGTCTCCAAATATAAGCTTCTATTGTCATATTTCAGGTAGAGTAGATCTAATGATGAGTCATGGTATGGGTGGCCCAGGTGGCCAAGTCATCCAAGGCATGGCAATTTGCTACGCAGAGTCGCGTCCCCTTGTTCATGGCAGATACCTGTGATTGTGGGTTTGAGTCCCATTTCAACCCCAATTTGATTACTATGTTTGTCAGGACCCATCCTCCTGGGTTTCACCAAAGTGGTTAACATGTGAGACCTCTGTTACTTTGGGCTTTCTTCCCACTTTAAGCAGACCTGCTGTGGTGTAAGTCAATTGCCCCTTTTAGAATCACTTCCGATATTGAAGACT